ATACTGCACTCCTCATCGTTTGATACTTATTTGCATCACATTACACAACAAAATCACACTGTACTGCAATCATGGTGAGGATTAGAGGTGGATCCATGACTGCCGGACGCATCTTCAAGCTTCGTGATGAGAAGGATGAAGATGTTCAAGTTATCGAACCATCCATCAAATCACCCAAAAAGAAAACTGGAAATCGTGGTGGAAAAACGAAACAATCTGCAAGGAAAAAACATAATGCGCAAACCAGAGAGCCATCGGTTGAACCATCCGATGAGCAGATGGAGGAGATTCAATCTGAAGGGCATCCAGTAAGTGGCAATGAAGAGGAACTGGAGCAGCCTACCAATGTAGATATAACCACCATTAAATCACCCAGAAAAGGAAAAAGGACAGCCAAAAGGAAGAACATTGCTCAACCCAAGGGAAGGCAAACTGCTGATCGGAACACCTATGCACACATCTACCAAGCTTGACAAGGATGAAGAAGGTACAAAAGTTGATAAAAAAAATATAGAGGTATGATTGGTAGCTTGCTTTACTTAACTGCTAGTAGACCAGATATCATGTTTGTTGTGTGCTTATGTGCTCATTTTCAGTCTTGTCCAAAGAAATCTCTTTTAAAAGCAGTAAAAAGAATTTTTAGATATCTAAAAGGAACCTTAAATTTTGGTCTATGGTATCCTAAGTGTCATGAACTTCCTTTGGGTGGATTCTCTGATGCTGACTTCGGCGGTTGTAGGGTTGATAGAAAAAGTACAACAGGTATATGTAACTTTCTTGGAAATTGCTTAGTATCCCGGTTTAGCAAGAAACAAAATGCTATTTCATTATCTACAACTGAAGTTGAATATGTTGCTGCTGGAACTTGTTGTGCTCAATTATTGTGGATGAAAAATAAATTGAATGATTTTGGATTGATATATGATTGTGCGCCTTTGTATTGTGATAACACTAGTGCAATAAATTTAACAATAAATTCAATCCAACATTCTAGAACAAAGCACATAGACATAAAGCATTATTTCATTCGCGATCTTGTCCATGAGGGTGAAATTTGTGTTCAATACGTTTGTTCAAAAAACCAAATTACTAATATTCTCACAAAAGCCTTACCACTAGATCAATTTATATCTTTGAGAACAAAATTTGCGTTTCAGAAAAAATTCTCTAAAAATTCTCTGGTCACTCTCTATTGGACGTCCGACGTGTTAGAACGGACGTCTGACAGTGTTCTTGATCATTTACCCAGAAAATTTTGGTTTGGACGGAGGTGTCGGACGCTCTACTTCGTTCGGCCGTCCGACACTCAAAAATTACGTCTTATAAGGAAGCCCTCTGAGTTATTCAATTCATTCTTACCCTTTCTGTCTCGGACGCAACTCTTCATATTCCCTCAATTTTAAAATTCAAATTCATCTTTTCTCGGAACAAGTACCAAGAAATCACTCTGACCGAAACATTCACATACCTATTGCGAGTTTATTGTACATCATAACTTCTCCCAACCGCCAATTGCACTATCAATCCCAATTTTTACCCGAAACTCTAACCATAAAAATTTCTCCCTCTGTGGATAGTTCGTGCATCCACTATAGTTCATACTGCACTCCTCATCATTTGATACTTATTTGCATCACATTACACAACAAAACCACACTATGTTGCAATCATGGTGAGGATTAGAGGAGGATCCATGAGTACCGGACGCACCTTCAAGATTCATGATGAGGAGGATGAAGATGTTCAAGTTATCGAACCATCCATCAAATCACCCAAAAAGAATACTGGAAATCGTGGCGGAAAAATGAAACAATCTGCAAGGAAAAAATAGAATGCGCAAACCAGAGAGCCATCGGTTGAACCATCTGATGAGCAGATGGAGGAGATTCAATCTGAAGGGCATCCAGTAAGTGGCAATGAAGAGGAACTGGAGCAGCCTACCAATGTAGATGTAACCACCATGAAATCACCCAGAAAAGGAAAAAGGACTGACAAAAGGAAGAGCATTGCTCAACCCAAGGAAAGGCAAACTGCTGATCGGAACACCTATGTGCACATCTACAAAGCTTGACAAGGATGAAGAAGGTACAAAAGTTGATGAAAAGAAGTATAGAGGTATGATTGGTAGTTTGCTTTACTTAACTGCTAGTAGACCAGATATCATGTTTGTTGTGTGCTTATGTGCTCGTTTTCAGTCTTGTCCAAAGGAATCTCATTTAAATGCAGCAAAAAGAATTCTTAGATATCTAAAAGGAACCTTGAATTTTGGTCTATGTTATCCTAAGTGTCATGAACTTCCTTTGGGTGGATTCTCTGATGTTGATTTTGGCGGTTATAGGGTTGATAGAAAAAGTACAACAAGTATAAGTAATTTTCTTGAAAATTGCTTAGTATCCTGGTTTAACAAGAAACAAAATGCTATTTCATTATCTACAACTGAAGCTGAATATGTTGCCGCTGGAGCTTGTTGTGCTCAATTATTGTGGATGAAAAACATATTGAATGATTTTGGATTGATATAAGATTGTGTGCCTATGTATTGTGATAACACAAGTGCAATAAATTTGACAAAAAATCCCATCCAACATTCTAGAATAAAGCACATAGACATAAAGCGTTATTTCATTCGCGATCTTGTCCATAAGGGTGAAATTTGTGTTCAATATGTCTGTTCAAAAGACCAAATTGCTGATATTCTCACAAAAACCTTACCACTGGATCAATTTATGTCTTTCAGAACAAAATTGGACGTTTCAGAAAAAATTCTCTAAAAATTCTCTGATCACTCTTTATTGGACGTCCTATGTGTTAGAACGGACGTTCAACAGTTTTCTTGATCATTTACCCAAAAAATTTTGGTTCGGACGGAGGTATCCGACGCTCTACTTCGTTCGGCCGTCCGACACTCAAAAATTGTATCTTATAAGGAAGCCCTCTACGTTATTCAGTTTATTCTTACCCTTTCTGTCTCGGACGTAACTCTTCATATTCCCCCAATTTCAAAATTCAAATTCATCTCTTCTCTGAACAAGTACTAAGAAATCACTCTGATCGACACATTTACATACCTATTGCGAGTTTATTGCGCATCATAACTTTCTCCAACCGCCAACTGCACTATAAATTTCAATTCTTACCTGAAACCCTAACCACAAAAATTTCTCCCTCTGTGGATAGTTCTTGCATCCACTGTAGTTCATACTGCACTCCTCATCGTTTGATACTTATTTACATCACATTACACAACAAAACCACACTATATTGCAATCACGGTGAGGATTAGAGGAGGATCCGTGAGTGCCGGACGCACCTTCAAACTTCGTGATGAGGAGGATGAAGATGTTCAAGTTATCCAACCATCCATCAAATCACCCAAAAAGAAAACTGAAAATCGTGGTGGAAAAACGAAACAATCTGCAAGGAAAAAACATAATGTGCAAACCAGAGAGCCATCGGTTGAACCATCCGATGAGCAGATGGAGGAGATTCAATCTGAAGGACATCCAGTAAGTGGCAATGAAGAGGAACTGGAGCAGCCTGCCAATGTAGATATAACCACCATGAAATCACCCAGAAAAGGAAAAATGACAGCCAAAAGGAAGAGCATTGCTCAACCCAAGGGAAGGCAAACTACTGATCGGAACACCTATGTGCACATCTACCAAGTTTGACAAGGATGAAGAAGGTTCGAAAGTTGATGAAAAGAAATATAGAGGTATGATTGGTAATTTGCTTTACTTAACTGCTAGTAGACCAGATATCATGTTTGCTGTGTGCTTATGTGCTCGTTTTCAGTCTTGTTCAAAGGAATCTCATTTAAATGCAGTAAAAAGAATTCTTAGATATCTAAAAGGAATCTTAAATTTTGGTTTATGGTATCTTAAGTGTCATGAACTTCCTTTGGGTGGATTCTCTGATGCTGACTTCAGCGGTTGTAAGGTTGATAGAAAAAGTACAACAGGTATATGTAACTTTCTTGGAAATTGTTTAGTATCCTGGTTTAGCAAGAAAAAAATGCTATTTCATTATCTGTAACTGAAGCTGAATATGTTGCCGCTGGAGTTTGTTGTGCTCAATTATTGTGTATGAAAAACACATTGAATGATTTTGGATTGATATAAGATTGTGTGCCTATGTATTGTGATAACACTAGTGCAATAAATTTGACAAAAGATTCCATCCAATATTCTAGAATAAAGCACATAGACATAAAGCATTATTTCATTCGCGATCTTGTCCATAAGGGTGAAATTTGTGTTCAATATGTCTATTCAAAAGACCAAATTGCTGATATTCTCACAAAAACCTTACCACTAAATCAATTTATGTTTTTAAGAACAAAATTGGGCGTTTCAGAAAAAATTCTCTAAAAATTCTCTGGTCACTCTTTGTTCGACGTCCTATGTGTTAGAATGGACGTCCGACAGTTTTCTTGATTATTTACCCAGAAAATTTTGGTTCGGACGGAGGTGTCGGACGCTCTACTTCGTTTGGCCGTTCGACACTCAAAAATTGCATCTTATAAGGAAGCCCTCTGCGTTATTCAGTTCATTCTTACCCTTTCTGTCTCGGACGCAACTCTTCATATTCCCTCAATTTCAAAATTCAAATTCATCACTTTTCTGAACAAGTACTAGGAAATCACTCTGACCGACCCAGTTACATACCTATTGCGAGTTTATTGCGCATCTTAACTTTCTCCAACCGCCAACTGCACTATAAATCCCAATTCTTACCGAAACCCTAACCACAAAACTTTCTCCCTCTATGGATTGTTCGTGCATCCACTGTGTTCATGCTGCACTCCTCATCGTTTGATACTTATTTGCGTCACATTACACAACAAAACCACACTGTATTGCAATCATGGTGAGGATTAGAGGAGGATCCGTGAGTGCCGGACGCACCTTCAAACTTCGTGATGAGGAGGATGAAGATGTTCAAGTCATCGAACCATTCATCAAATCACCCAAAAAGAAACTGGAAATCGTGGTGGAAAAATGAAACAATCTGCAAGGAAAAAGCAGAATGCGCAAGCCAGAGAGCCATCGGTTAAACCATCCGATGAGCAGATGGAGGAGATTCAATCTGAAGGGCATCCAGTAAGTGGCAATGAAGAGGAACTGGAGCAGCCTACCAATGTAGATGTAACCACCATGAAATCACCCAGAAAAGGAAAAAGGACTGACAAAAGGAAGAGCATTGCTCAACCCAAGGAAAGGCAAACTGCTGATCGGAACACCTATGTGCACATCTACAAAGCTTGACAAGGATGAAGAAGGTACAAAAGTTGATGAAAAGAAGTATAGAGGTATGATTGGTAGTTTGCTTTACTTAACTGCTAGTAGACCAGATATCATGTTTGTTGTGTGCTTATGTGCTCGTTTTCAGTCTTGTCCAAAGGAATCTCATTTAAATGCAGCAAAAAGAATTCTTAGATATCTAAAAGGAACCTTGAATTTTGGTCTATGTTATCCTAAGTGTCATGAACTTCCTTTGGGTGGATTCTCTGATGTTGATTTTGGCGGTTATAGGGTTGATAGAAAAAGTACAACAAGTATAAGTAATTTTCTTGAAAATTGCTTAGTATCCTGGTTTAACAAGAAACAAAATGCTATTTCATTATCTACAACTGAAGCTGAATATGTTGCCGCTGGAGCTTGTTGTGCTCAATTATTGTGGATGAAAAACATATTGAATGATTTTGGATTGATATAAGATTGTGTGCCTATGTATTGTGATAACACAAGTGCAATAAATTTGACAAAAAATCTCATCCAACATTCTAGAACAAAGCACATAGACATAAGCATTATTTCATTCGCGATCTTGTCCATAAGGGTGAAATTTGTGTTCAATATGTCTGTTCAAAAGACCAAATTGCTGATATTCTCACAAAAACCTTACCACTGGATCAATTTATGTCTTTCAGAACAAAATTGGACGTTTCAGAAAAAATTCTCTAAAAATTCTCTGATCACTCTTTATTGGACGTCCTATGTGTTAGAACGGACGTTCAACAGTTTTCTTGATCATTTACCCAAAAAATTTTGGTTCGGACGGAGGTATCCGACGCTCTACTTCGTTCGGCCGTCCGACACTCAAAAATTGCGTCTTATAAGGAAGCCCTCTACGTTATTTAGTTTATTCTTACCCTTTCTGTCTCGGACGTAACTCTTCATATTCCCCCAATTTCAAAATTCAAATTCATCTCTTCTCTGAACAAGTACTAAGAAATCACTCTGATCGACACATTTACATACCTATTGCGAGTTTATTGCGCATCATAACTTTCTCCAACCGCCAACTGCACTATAAATTTCAATTCTTACCTGAAACCCTAACCACAAAAATTTCTCCCTCTGTGGATAGTTCTTGCATCCACTGTAGTTCATACTGCACTCCTCATCGTTTGATACTTATTTACATCACATTACACAACAAAACCACACTGTATTGCAATCACGGTGAGGATTAGAGGAGGATCCGTGAGTGCCGGACGCACCTTCAAACTTCGTGATGAGGAGGATGAAGATGTTCAAGTTATCCAACCATCCATCAAATCACCCAAAAAGAAAACTGAAAATCGTGGTGGAAAAACGAAACAATCTGCAAGGAAAAAACATAATGTGCAAACCAGAGAGCCATCGGTTGAACCATCCGATGAGCAGATGGAGGAGATTCAATCTGAAGGACATCCAGTAAGTGGCAATGAAGAGGAACTGGAGCAGCCTACCAATGTAGATGTAACCGACATGAAATCACCCATGAAAGGAAAAAGGACTGCCAAAAAGAAGCGCATTGCTCAACCCAAGGGAAGGCAAACTGCTGATCCCTCTAGAAAACAGCAGGATGCAAAGAAAAATGTTGAGAAATAGCAGACTGATGAACCATCTACCAGGAAGTCACCAAGGACAAGGTCTGGTGTTCAGAGTACTGAACCAACTACTCAGCGCAGTGGAAAAAGAAAGCATCCAGAAAATGAGCAACCAGAGACCCAAACTGCTGTTGAATCAACTCCCCTGCCCAAGTTCATCGATGATGAAATCAGGGAGAGGTTTGAATGGATCTCACAGAAAGGGTTCATCACTCAAAAGACCATCATTCCTTATGAATTCCGTAAGCTTGACCTTGAATCTGTTCTCAACCTTTTTGAATTCCAAAAATAGACCCATCTTTTGACCATTCCAAACACCTACTATCCTGACATGCTTCATCAATTCTTTGCAAACATTAGAAAGGGTAAATCACATACTGATTTCATTTCACGTGTCAATTCTGTTAACATAGAGCTGAATCCTGAAATTGTCAACTCTGTTTTGGAAACCAAAATTGAAGATGGTTTTAAAGGCAAAATTGTAAATTTCTTTTCTTACGAAGAATTTTTCTCTGCATACCATCACTTTCATGTTGCAAAATTGATGACCTATTTTCAGTCTCACTTTAATACTCCTGCTGAGGCAAGATTTGAAGATTTTAGTCCTCAAAACCTGATCATTTTTACCATAATTTCAAATCTGTTGGTGCCCACTGATGGTCACAGAACTGATGCAAACAAAATGGAACTTTATCTGTTCTACTGTTTTCTTGAAAAAATTCGAATTGATTTTGGTTTTGTCATGTGCAAATTTCTGCTCAAAATCAGCACTGACAGCCGTAGGAAACTATCCTATGAAAAATTTCTGACTCTTATTTTTACTCATTTTGAAATTCCCTTTACTGACAAATCTCCAAAAAAAGTGCATCAACTGTGTTTTCAAAAACTTATTTTGAAAGGAAAAATCTAAAATTTTTTTAGGGTCATTGGTGCTACAAAAAAATTGTCTCTGAGTCTAGGAGAAAAAATCTTCATGAAACTCCTGTAACCCCTAGGACTCCTCGAGACCAGTCTATGTATGTGACACGCTTCACCATTCATCCTAGAAGGTCAGCCTCTATGCATATTTCATCCAATCTTGAGGTCATCTCTCTGCTTGATGATCTCAAATAACATATCCTGCCTTTTGAAGATGGCTTGATGATGACCATGACTTCTGATCAACAAGCCACCTTCGTTGCCAAAAGGAATCTGCTTGTACCTCCCATTCCTCCAGAAAATGAAAATGCACACCGAAAGGAGCCTAGAACTGAGCCAACCACTAAGGTTACCCCAGAGTACCGTGCCTCCAGTTCTCAATCACAGGACAAGGGAAAAACTCCGGCAACTGAAAAAGAGACTGAAGAGGATGATGATGATGAGGATGAGAACACAGAGGAAGAAGACCCTGTCCAGTTTCGCCTGGCTAGAAGAAGGCCTGGATTCTCTAAGATCACCATATAGGCACTACTAGGCTACTGCACTTCATGATTAGGATAATAGTTCATATTAGATTTTTGTATCTTTTGCACTTAAAAAAAATTTGATATGCTGTCTTAAGGATTTTACTCCTCTACTGGTCTGTAAAACTATTTAGTTATCCTTTATGTTGAATGTTGCTTATTTCAGTTTATCTGCAAATATTAGTTTCTGGTTGATAATGTTTTGGTTTTGATTCTGAATGGATGGTGTTGCTGTGTTCTGCCAATATTAGTTTCAATTTATTTTACTGTTTTGCTAAATTCAGCTTGAATGTGTGACAATATTGGTGAGCCAATGAACGACCAGTTATTGTTTTACTGGTTGATTCAATGATGACAACAAGGAGGATATATGGATATGTAATCTATATGTGAGGGGGAGTCATTTTAAGGGGGAGTTGTGAATAATTATGAGTGGACATTATTCTGAAGGGAAGTTGTGAATACTCCCTAAATGCATTAAGTTAGGGGGAGCTGTACCTAAAACCCTTTTTACTCCATCCATTGTTTTGTTATCATCAAAAAGGGGGAGATTGTTTATCTCAATCCGTAACTTTTGATGATTACAAAAAATGGATGTTACTAATATTCTCTGATTAGATCTTTTCAGAATTGGAGCAGAACAGGTTCAAAGGCTAACATATACTGAAATAGCTGTCAGACGCACATAAAGACTGCATCGGCCATCCGATAACCATTGAGTAACTTCGGACGCATGAAGAACCCACTCTCGGACGTCCGAAGATGATAAGCCAAGTCCTCTAAGCTAATTGACCTCGATCGGACGTACAACACCTGAGTACCGGACGTCCGATAAACGTTGCGACACTTCGGACGCAAACTATTGGAGGCACCGGACGTCCGAACGAATTGAAGGAGAATTTTCAGTTTTACATCATACCTTTGGACGCATATTCTGGAGGTACCAAACGTCCTAAACAATTCAAGAAAACTTCTTGAACTCACTGCCTGCGTTCGAACGCAAAAAACTAGCCTACTGGACGTCCGACACCACCAATGGTTAGTTGACTTTTCAGCTGCCTTCTATCCGTTGGTAGCATTAATTGAAAAATTTTTTGGTCTCTTATAAAAAGGAAAAAATCAACCACCTAAAACAATTTTCGCACATTGAGACTACATCAGATCTTGAGTGATTCAAGTGTGAGAATACTCTTTAAAGAAGATTTGTACTCTTAGTTGTGAAATTTTCAATAAGTTTTTCAAGTGTGTTTCTATTTCTTCAATAGTGTAGCTTTGTGAGAGTTATCCGAATGATAGTAAAACTTCCTTGTTTGACCAAGTGCGGCTTGGGGCGAGGAGGAAGTGATCCTTTCTTTATACACAAGAGATTGGTTATAAGTTGATCAACTTGAAGAAACTTGCTATATAAAATGGTATTCAAACTCAAGTGGAGTTTGAAACTTGATTTGCTATTCTATCCTTTTACTTACTGTCTTGCAATATAAATTATCTATCTCTTCTACTCCCAAGCACTTGTGCTTATTCATCAATTGCTCCATTGTGTGGTCTTTTAGAAAAAGAGAGCAAGTTCTAAAAACAGTGACTCATATCTTGGCTAGTTTTTAAATCACCTAATTCATCCCCCTCTTAGGTTGTTTTCGATTCTTACACACATAGGGCTAAATTGCAAAAGTTAGAGTGCCATAGTTGATTTAATGAAATTGGCAAATTAGATATATGGCTTAATTGCAAAAGTTATGGTGTAATGGTAGAGTTAAAGAAATCGGTATACTACATATGGGACAAAACTGCAAAAGTTAGGGTGCAATAGTAGAATTAAAGAAATTAGTGTACTGCATATGGGGCTAAATTACAAAAGTTATGGTGTCATAGTAGAATTAATGAAATTTTTTTATTACATTTGGGGCTAAATTGCAAAAGTTAGGGTGGCATACTAGAATTAATGAAAATGATCTAGGAACAAGTACTTTAGATAGTGACAACTAATTGTTGTCACTACCTCTGAACCGGTTGAGCGACAGTGACGATGTTGGAAGTTGTCACTATATGGACCATTTTAGTGACAACATTTTCCTAGGTTGTCACACAAGTAATTTCCCGATCACCAATTTTTCATGTGTTGCCAAGAAAACTAGATAGGGAGTCCATGATACTGTTTTACCTTCATAACAAGTTTCTAAGTTTGAAACAATTATAAAATATGTATACATTTTTATTGCAATACCTTCCCCATTTTACTAATGAAAAACATAGGTTAAATTGTAAATAATAGGGTGCCATAATAGAATTAATGAAATTGGTTTATTACACATGAGGCTAAATTGCAAAAGATAAGGTGTCATGGTAGAGTTAATGAAATTAGTTTACCACATATGAGGCTAAAATATAAAAGATAGGGTGTCATAATAGAATTAATAAAATTTATTTACAGCATATGGGGCAATATTGAAAAAATTAGGATGACATAGTAGAATTAATGAAATTGAGTTAAGAACAATTACTTTAGACAGTGACGACTAATTGTTGTCACTAACTTTGAACCGGTAACCACATTGTGATAACATTGTAAGTAGTCACCATAGGGCCCATTTCAGTGACAACATTTTTTCAAGTCGTCACAATAGTGATTTCCTGTCACACAGGCTAGTTGCGCGCAACCCATATTGTGACGATTAATCCCGTGTTGTCACTGATGATGAGTGTACCCTCAATCAACTATGATAACATCAAAAGTCGTCACTAAATTTGCTCAACTGTGACAACTTTTTCTGTTATCACTGAGAATGTTGTCACAAAAGGCTAAATTTCTTGTAGTGTTACTTACGAATTTTAAGTGCAAAAAATTATTAAAAACAATATTTGTCTTTAAAATAAATTATGTAATATGTTATTTTTGAAATCTATTTCATAATATATAGAATTTGGGGTCATAAGTTTGTATTAAAAGATTCCAAATAAATTTGTTTTGAAAAAATAAAAAAAAGAATAAAGATAAAATTGATAAAACGTTCATATAGTGTGAGAATGGTACTTAACTAACATCTAGCAAAATGGTCTGATGGTGAGCATGTCATAAACCTTGACCTAAGGTCATAGAGTCGAATCTCAACAAAAAACTTGGTAAAACTTTTTCCTCAAAATTGGTTTCTCCAAAAAACTAGTCGGGTTCCCGGTTTAATCCAGTTGAACCACTGGATCGTTGACCAGTCAACAGTTCCGGTGCTTAACCGATCTAATTAGAGACCCGGCCCGGTCCAATGGCGGGTTCACCGGGTTGACCAGTTCGACCGTCGGACCGGGCCGGGTTTTATAACTATGATCAAAACCTTAACCTTAGGGAAGGTTTGTGTAATTTTACAAACTTCAAGGGAGGCTAATGAAATTATAAAAAATCTCAGTGGAGGTTTCTGAAATTATCCCTTAATATTATGATATTTGAGCATTTTTCTCCATCCGTACATGAATAGATTGTCTTCAACTTTGATATCTCAACTCTTGTGATGACAGTAGATGATGATGATGTTGTTTTTATTTGGCAGAATATTTATCATGTCTTCTGGATTCAACTCCTACAATATTAAAAACATTTTTGTTAGTTTGTTTTACTAATGGTAAATTGTATAAAAGTATAGGTGGAAAACATTACTAAATATTTGATGTCTTGGGATCTGATTGTTATGTAGATTGAAAACCTTATAAGCAATCCTTCTCTTGGGAAAAATGCTTGCAATTTTGGATGACAAAAGGATAAATAACAATATTGTTGGAGTAGAACTCATACTAAAATGTTAATCTAAATTTATAAATATCTCTCAAAGAGAAAAAGCAAGCAAAATAATTTTTTTCTTAGAATCCATTCGGTTGCGTATTATTTGTTTGAGAGTTTTCCCTTTTTTTTTATGTGTTTTTGGTTGGTAAGAAAAATGTGAAATGGTTATATTATGTTGATGATGCTAAGGTTTTATAGAATTTGTGTGATACGGAAGCATAAGTATGTGAATGAAAAGTTTGGGTGTGGATGAAATTTTATGGTTAGGTAGTATTAATATTGTGATCGTTGATTAATGTATGTTGGTAACAGATAGAAATAGTGAAAATATTTAGTATTATTAAATTTTTAAAGGAAGTGGATCTTAGTCTTTAACATTATTGTATTAAACGAAAATTTGCAGGTGGTAAGTTAACAGCCTATCGTTTATATGGATCATTGGAAGTGGTAAAAACGCATTTTATTAGATGAAAACATATATAGTGTTAATTATATTTAGTATTTGTATATCTAAGGATTGGAATAATTTAAGCATTACAGTGGATAGATTTTTACAAGCTTGTCATCAAATATCTACATTCGATATTGGTTTTTGACTTGAGTGTGATATTATAGTTGTATATCCTGGTTTAATAGGATGATATTTGAGCATTTTTTTCCATCCATAAGTGAAAATGTTATCTTCAATTTTGATACCTCAACTCTTGTGGTGGCAGTGGTTCACAATGATGTCATTCTTATTTGGTGAAATGTGTATGCGTCTTCTAGGTGTAACTCCTGCAATACCAAAGAGATTGGTGTTAGTTTTTTTTAATGCTAGTAGACTTAATACAAATTGATTAAGATAAAAAATAGTAAAGATGGATGTGCACAAAAAGCGTTAAATAAGTGTCTAATCATGGAATCATTTATTATAATATTTTTATTAACATATATAGAGTAATTGACAGAAACAAATCAATGCCAAACATCTTAGATGTTCATTTATAGTTAATACCATGCTTTTATTATTATAATTATTATTTTTTATAAACCTATCGAACAAAATCTAAGTTGGCTATACCGGCTTAAAATGATTATGATTGCTATCATTACATTGAAATTTTAAAATAAATGAACTATGCATAAAAACAGTAATACTAACTTTAGTAATTGGTCAAAAAGGTGGTATCAAAAATTTCTCTCTAATCATCTCAAATCTTTTCCACAAATTATTGAATTTTTTTAAGCAC